ACATCTTATATGGTGGTAGGCAACAGAAAATGAGAGACAAGAGAGAAGGGAAACCCCTTACAAATCCACCAGATCTCGTGAGACTCATTCTTGCCCCCGTGATTCAATTATCACCCACTGGGTCCCTCCCACATCACATGGGAATTATGGGAGCTACAATTCAAGATGAGATTTGGGTGGAAACACAGCCAAACCATACATCCTCTATCTAAATTGTGTTTAAAGCTATAAGACTGGAGGGATCACCGAAGGTGTGAGGAAAAACAGAACATGCGGTGGCTCACGCCTGTAACCCCAGCACTTTGGGAGGCTGAGGCGGACAGATCACTTGAGGTCAGGAGTTCAAGACCAGCCTGGCCAACATGGCAAAACCCCATCTCTACCAAAAATACAAAAATTAGCTAGGTATGGTGGCACATGCCTGTAATCCCAGCTATGGCAGGAGGCTGAGGCACAAGAATCAGTTGAACCTGGGAGGCGGGGTTCAGTGAGCTGAGATCGCACCACGGCACTCCAGCCTAGCTGACAAAGTGAGACTCTGACACAGCGGGAAAAAAGAAAAAAAAAAAGAACAACGCTCCTAGACTGAACCCCATGGCCTCCGAGAGGTAGAGATCAGAAGGCTAAGGCAGAACCAGGACAGGATGCCGAGGCAGGGCAGCCAGGAGAACAGGAGGTTCCCAGGCAAGCATGGGGTACACTGCCTGTCTTTTGATCCTCAGACCCACTCAACAAAAGAGTATACCTATCCCAGTTTACTGATGAGGAAAGTGAGGTTCAGAGAAGTAATCTGACCAAAATCACCCTACTAGGAAGGGGCAGACAGACCCACGCCCAAGCCTCTCTAACTCTACCTGCTCTACACGGCTTCTCTACAGAGCAACCTACTGAGTTATTACTCATACCACAAATACAACTAAAACCAAACAATTCCAGGCAGGCTGTAAGGCAATCTTTGCTTCTAAGTAAAAAGCTAATTGTATAGTTAAAGGCTGAGAGCCTCATCAAGACAACCAAGGCACCTGTACAAGCACAGGTGACCAATGGATTTAAAGCATGTTACAGACGTCGTCAAACAGCTTACAAGGTCATCCCCAGGGATAGTCCTAACTTGATGAACAATTCTGCAGTTTATCTAAAGGAGTAATAACTAAATGAGAAAAACTACGTAAGCTTCATAAAAAAATAAACTTTATTGGATAACAATAAAGTTAGTCACTAGAACAGCTTGAAAAATAAGGTACTAGTACAAAAATCACTGAGACAGACCAAAATCTCAGAATTAGACCCAATATCTTGGGAAATTCTGGCACTGAAAAATAAAATTGAAAGGACTGATTTCTCTATAAATATACTGAGTCGATGATAACCGTTTGGAAACAAAGATTCCTACCACATACCATATGCTAAAATAAATTGCAAGAATATTAAATTTCATAAATGTTATGCAATCATAAACTAAAACTCAAAGAAAAAGTAAAAGAATATAGCCCCAAACTGAGGAAGGTTTCTTTTGACAGAGAGAATCATGGAAGATGAAAACATAAAGGAAAATAACTTTAAATGAACCAAGTTATTTAACTTTGTATATAAAAAGATACCATAAACAAAACATAAAGGCAAATGATGACAAAGTATTAAGTACAAAGAGCTCTAAGATATCAACAGGATAAAATGTGAGCACTACAGAAATGAATAAGAGATGTAAATAAACTTTTTTCAAAGTTTCTATAATAAACATGTATGGGAGAAAATTAAAAAGGAAAAGACTCACCTACAGCTTAATTAAAGCTACATCCTAAATCAGCAATGGAGCTAGAACAAGGGGTCCCCGACTCAGCACTCTGTTTACCAAGCCAGCCCCAGGCAAAACATGAGACTGGTAAGCGTCAAAAGAGAAACACAAATAATGAAGTACAGCAGCCCTGTAGGAAAGCAATCATCTCGAATTCAAAAATAAAGCTGTACTGGCACCTCCTATTTCCATCCCCTTAGCTCTACTTTACCCCTTTCTTCCTAGAATCAGAGGATTGAGGCTAAAAGAAACCCAAGAAATATTAAGGTATCCTTTCCTTATTTTACAATGTGACAAAACTGAGACCCAAGTAGTGGCAGAAGTTGGCACTGAGGCAAGCTACCTGTTCCAGAGGTCCTCTCATTGCACTTGATGACTGATGCCCTTCTTTTTTGGGGGGAGGGAGGTTGGGGACAAGCTACCTGTTCCAGTGGTCCTTTCATTGCACCTGATGATTGGGGATGGGGTTACCTGTTCCAGTGGTCCTTTCATTAAAACGATGACTGATGCCTCCCTCTTTCTGGGGAGGGGGCTGGGGGCAAGCTACCTGTTCCAGCGGTCCTCTCATTGCACTGACATGACTGATGTCTCTTTTGGGGGAGGGGCTGGGGCAAGCTACCTGTTCCAGTGAACTTTTCATTGCACCTGATGACTATTCTTCTTTGGGGAGTGGGGCTGGGGGTGCTACTGTTCCAGCAGTCTTCTGGCCACTCCTGATGACTGAGTGCCTCTTTTGGGGAGGGGGTTGGGGAAACAAGCTACCTGTTCCAGGTCTCTTCACAACACTGATGATTGATGCCTTCTTTTCTGGGGAAGGGGGTTGGGGGTAAAGTACCTGTTCATAGGTCTTTATTGTACCTGATGACTGATGCCCTTCTTTTTGGGGAAGGGCTGGGGGGCAAGCTACCTGTTCCAGTGGTCCTTTCATTGCACCTGATGACTGATGCCCTTCTTTTTTGAGGGGAGGGGGTTGGGGGGAAGGGTCTCACTCTGTCACCCGGTTTGGAGTGCAGTGGTGCGATCTAGGCTCACTGCAATTTGCGCTTCCAGTCTCAAGCAATCCTCCCACCTCAGCCTACCAATTAGCTGGGACCACAGGCAAGAGCCACCATGCCCCCTTAATTTTTTGTATTTTTGGTAGAGGCAGCGTTTCACCATATTTCCCAGGCTGGTCTCAAACCCCTTCGTTTCAGGCAATCCACCCTTGGCCTCCCAAAGTGCTGGGATTATAGGCGTGAGCCACTGTGCCCAGACTTGATGCTCTTCTTCCCAGACAACTGAAAAGTGTTGAAAACTAAGACATGACTTTACAAATACCTCATCCTACCAAAAATGTCAGCAGAAAGAAATAAAGAAAAACAATACAAATTTCCAATGTTTTGTTAGAAAATATTTCACAATGTTTGAATACCATTCCCTTTTAGGAGATGCATTCCTGCTTTGACAAGACATCTTTGTCCATCTGAACTCCCTTTCCTGCCGAAGAACTCAGAGAATCATGACAGGGAGGATAGGCTGAGTGTGCTGCTCTGGACCCGTGATACCAACTACTCACACCGACCCCATCCCTCCGCATCAGTTGGTCCAGGGTCTGCCAGATTAACAGCTTCTATCTGCTCAAAGGCTTTTTAGCACAGAGCCTGGACTGCAGAACCAGGCATGAGACCACAGAACCCTGTTCAGTGCCTGTGAACGCCTTCTTGACCCTGTCACCATGGCCCACTGCATACTCCAGGCTTCCCTGCCTCTGGGAACAGCTGCTCTTCATTACGGAAGGACTGCAGTAGTTATGTGTTGTCATCTTAAGAAATGTAATTCTTGCCTAAATGTTCAGGCAGCTGAGCGGTCGGCAAGGCTTACTGTTTGTGGAGGCATAGAATCATTAAAAACCACATGACTTCAGTGTTTTCATTATTCAAGGATGACTGCTTTACGTCATTGTATTTTTAATTTTGATTACGGATTTTTTTTGAGAGAGAGAGTACTGCTTCAGTTTTAATAGTTATGGTTCTGGCTCTTTTTCCGCCTTAGGCAAGCCCTTGATCCTTAATTCTGATGAATCCCAGCCAAGCATTGAGCCTTTGCACTGAGTCCCTCGAGCTCACCTGAATTCTTGCCGAGGGCCCAACCCACACACACACAGCAGGACTGATTTTCAGAACAATCTTAAAACAAAGATAGAACTTAAGAGCTATATCATCCACTAAATTTTGAAATTAAACATCACTGTTGAAATAATTTTTATTTTTAGAGTAAACTCCAACTTTTATACATAATTTTGGTAAATAACAATACATTTATAAATAAAGTTTATTAATCTTGTTATATGAAGTATTTACAAATCCCTCACGTAACTTGTCTTTCTGAGTAAAATCTTAAATGTTAAAAGTCTCTTATGGTTTGGCTGCCTGTCTTCCTAGAACACATCTTCTTTCCCTCTGTCCAGCCTATGCCAGGGAGACTGTGCCCACCGCCCACCGAGCTCCCCACCTACCTCGACCCATGACCTGCTCCCAGGGCTCCCGAGCTCACCTCCATCACTGCACTTAAGCCTTTACCATGGCCTGCCTGCTCCTCTGTCCTGCCTTCTAGATTATGAACTCCTTGAACGCAGGAACTGGTCTCTACTTGACCTGGTATCCCTAGAACCTACCTCCATGGCTAGCACATATAAGAACTCAATCAATTGTTCTTAATGAATGAATGAAATTAGAAATCCACTTAAGTACACTTTATCTAGATCAAATCTGCCCAAATGTTGGCTTTATTTTAGACTTGGTTCCAACCCTGAGGTGGCTTGGATGATAAGAGCCTCACTTGAAAAATCAGGCCAAGTGTGATCAAGGTTGCCCCTCAAGATCCTTGAGCTCCAGGTGGGGATGGAGGGCTGAAGAGGATGGAAACTTCAGAACCACAGATCAAGGCTTCCTGAAGATGTCTCCTTCCCTGAAGCAGCTTCCTTCCCTGCATAGCCCTGCCACTGGCACAGACACACCCAGTAAGTGTTTATCCTGCACCTGCTGGAAGTGAGCACTGAGCACGGGACGGGGAGACAGGCAGGCCAGGCCTTCACCGCTCTTTCAGAAGCTCCTTCTAATGGGCACGTGCTCTTTCCTGCCTCCAGTACAGCAAGTTTCTGATGAACTGGAACACCAGCTTCAAATTACATATTTAGAGGGGAAAGTTCACCCTGGGGTTTACTCACCATCTGCAGTGTGAAGGAGCTTGTGACTTTTCAGTGTCCCTTTTGATTTGAATTTCTTGCCACACATGTCACATAGGTGGGTTTTCTCAGTGCTGTGACGATTCATATGAGCCTTGAGGTTACTCTTGCTACGAGTTGCATACTCACACAAAGAACACTTGAAGGGCTTCACACCTGCCGAGGGAAAAATGTATATATCTATCTCTATATATTTACATATGTGTATGAATATGTGTGTGTGAATCTGAAGGAATATATATATCCATATCTAAATACCCTTATAGATATGTATATATAAAACATCCACATTGAACACAGCGGTATACTTGCTTGGCCCTAACGCACCACACACTTCCCATGCCAGGCTCTTCCCCAGGCTATGCCTTCCTCCTGGGATGCCCTTGCCTCCTGGGATACCAGGTGCCTCCACCCTGCAGCTTTCTCTGACCTTCCTTGGTAGATTTCCCTACCTCCCTATCAATATTCCCAACTCCTGTAACTCTCTACTAGCTGAAACGTTCACTGCACACTACAGTGAGTCCTTCATATCTGCCCTCTCCCCATAGTCTGGGAACTCCTTGAGGACAGAGACGCTGAGCATCCTGTGGAGCAGACAGTCACTAAATTCAGTTGAACTGAGCTGAACTAAACACAAAGGCACCAAGGCCCTTTGCAAAAAATCAAAAAGATCAGGCACCAGGACCAAATGTGGAAGCACATTTACTTTGTAAAACAAATCAAGCTTTACCAACTGGTGGTTGATGGGCTGATGACTCTGACTGTAGGGGCATCCTGGCATTCACCACTCCTTCATTCACCAACTGTCTACTAAGGACCTATTTTCATAGTAGGCACTGAGGATTAATCTTGAAACTGAGAAGAGTGAATCCCAGCCTTCACTGTCCGGTGGGAGATGCAGACAGGTAAACAGGCCGTTACAATATGGTGTATGATGCGCTATAGGAACAAGGGCTGGGGCCTGGGGGAAGGGGAAGGAGGGCGGGGAACAAGCCTGAACACAGTAATGAAGCAGACAATTTTTAGCGAGCCAAACATTTTCACCCATTATTTACACTACCTATGACTTTGCAGTTGAGGAAACCAACACTTTAAAGAGGCTGAGGGCAATGCCCAGGGGCGCAGAGCTGAGATGCACATCGGGGTCTGATGTCCCTTAGGGCCCACGCAAAGCCCAGCTCTGGCCGGGGTTTCTAGAGATGAAGTAATAATCTAACCATAAGCATCAACAGGCTGTGTGCCCTTGAACTTATGTTTGGATCACAGTTCTCATCTCTGTAAAACGACAGGACCAGGAGTCACTTCCCAAGAAGCCTTCAGGGCACCAGATCCATTGTTCTGGGTTGGTCATTTACAACACACTCTCACAAGAGCAGGGCCACGGCTGTGGTGCTAGTCTGGGTCAAGCGGCGTCTCTCCGTATCTCACATGACCCTCAGCAGGCATTTCAACCCCGAATCAAAGCTACAGATGGCTCAGGACTACCACCACCACAGAGGAGAAGCCCACAATAACCATACAAAGAGGGAGCATGGTGCATCCCTGCTGTCTTTAGATCCTTCACAAATGTGTGAACAGCTGAGTATATTCAGGCACTATTTGGCCTGGTGCTCTTTCTAAAACATTAAAAGAACTCAAAAATGAAGACATGCACTGTCTTCCAGTCCTGGAGAAGCCAAATTCCTAATTTCTGTTCCTTATTAAGACTAGAAAGAGAAGCAACACAGAGACTGAAGTACACGTATTTCCATTAACATCTTTGCACACCCACAGGCCGGCTGTGGAACCCTGGGGAGTCACCTCAACAACTCCGCACTTTCGTGTGCTCTGGGACATACGGTCATGGAAAACGAGATGGTGCAGGTCAACCAGCTGTGCATCTCCAGATCATCCACAACATGGCATTCACCGCAAGGCGACATACCAAGACACTGTCTACTCTAAATTCTCCCCTAAGAGCCAATGTTTAGAACTGCTGTCATGGATGGGCCCCAGGTCCACTGCTTGACTATTAGGAAACCTTGAACAAAGTTGCAGGTCCTCCAAGCAACAAATGTTGCAAGTATGCACAAAATTCTAGACAAAGGGTTAATTTCTGTGACTACAGTCAATATCTGTGTTTTCTATTTTTCTTTCTTTTTTCAATTTAATTTTTTGGGTTTTTAAATTTGTTCTTCTTGTTCTATGTGTTAAGAGTAAATGGAGACAAGAGATATTTTATGGTACAAGGGATCAATTCCAAGGAACCCCATTGTAGTGTGTATACTGATATCCTGTTTCCTTTGTGATTCCATCATTACAGAGAAAGTCACAAATTAGAAAAAAGAAAAAAAGAAAGATGCCAGGATACAGCAGCCTTTGGCTTTCTGAATCTTTATCAATTCTGAAGTCGCTTAAAATATTAGATTACTTTCAAATTGCAAATATGCAGCATTACTGCATCATCACAAGTATTTACTTAACACAATAGCATCAGCCATGTATTAAGTACCTAATATGTGCTAAGCCTTCTACTGTGGGCTTTACATAAATTATCTCATTGATCCTTGCAACAAACCCCAAGGCAGATCACATTATAGATAAATAAACTGAGTTTCAAAGAGAAGGAATTATTTGTTCATCATACATGGTGAGGGTGGAATTTGAACCCCGTTCTCTCACTTCTTCTCACGTAAGTACAATTACAGTTTGATGCCTTGATAAGCCCATGGTCTCCAGCCTCCGCTGGACCCTCTGTGCTTCCATCAGGGTCAGCTCCCTGCCGATTCCCATGAATGCCACTCCAAGTCTGCCTTCTTGGCATTCTTTGCTGAGCAAACTGTGACCATCGGCTATGAATGCCTTCAACTTCATAACAAAGAAACAACACATGTATATACACGTACCTGCTGCCACCCTCACCCCCTTCACTACTGTCTCAGTGTAGGAGGGGACTCCTCCTCCAGAAACAAGTCAGTGCAGAAGAGAAGAGCAAGGGTTTTGGAATCAGATGGCATTGGTTCAAATCCCAGTTCACTACTTGTCAGCTGTGTGACCCTGGGCAAATTACTTCACCTCTCTAAGCCTCATTTTCCTCATTGGTAAAATAGGGATGGTAACAGCACCCACCTCTAAGGTTGTTGAGAATACTGACTCCAATAACGTGAGTCAAACACTGAGCACTGGCATCTAATAGGTGCTCATTATATGCTGGTAAACAAAAAAGTAGCTTCCTACCTTGGAATTTATTTCAACTCCTTCTGCCTTCTCCGCGTTCCCAACCTGTCAGTTACAATTCTCCTTACTGAACCATCAGTATCTCTCTCCCTAATAGTTCCTTCCCTAGGACCTATAAATAGGTCATTTTATCCAATATTGTAGAAAATAGTTTATCCTTCAACCCTCTCTAGTCTTTTTTCCTATCTGCAGCATTCCAGGTTCCTAAATAACAGGCAGGGATCTGATGCAGGTATCTGGAAGGGTTTTCCCTGGCCCCTCGGCTCCTACCCTAGTCCCCAGGAGGGCCATGTCTTTATACACTGGGAGAAAACAAAGGTGACGGTCTGTTGCGCTAGCAGAATCTTCACTTCCAACTTCCCAAAGCCTGAGAGTGGCCCTGCACTTCCCTTCATCGGCAAGCAACCCGAAAGCACAGCCCACCTTCTTCTATCCATTCCCTCATCTCCATCTTGCACTTCCCCCTTCTGAATTCCTTCTCCATAGCCTGAATGGCAACACTTCACACTGCTGGAACGGGAGAACTACTTGCTGCCCTCCTTCCTTCATTCATAATCCCAACAGTTCTAGGAAACCTGCTATGCACAGGGCACAGTGGGGGCACTGGAGCTCCTGCCAAGAATAAGACTCTGGTGTTCCTGTTCTCAAGGTACCTACATTCCAGCAGGGGAGTCGTGGTGATTTATTTCACTACAATTGCAATGAGACCTATGAAGGAGTGCACACCTCTACTCATTGCAATTGCAACCAATCGAGTAATAGTTTAAATTACTGTTTGTAGCTGGTTGATGGACACACTTCTCAGTGTGCTAAGGAAATTCTAACAGCAGGGATGTGAAGATATGGCTTCCTCTTAATGTACTCTCAAAACGAAGGATGGAAGCACAAAGTTAACAAGGTACCCAATTTGGAAAGATGAATACTCACCTTCATGAGCCCAAATATGACGCTGAAGGTCTGAGCCATTCTTCATGAAATAAAAGTCACAATATGGGCATTTCATGGCTCTCTTTCCAATTAGCCCTTTCAGCTGAACCCTCCTCCCAAGAACCTCAGAAATGGTGCTCATGGAGACCTCTAGAAGAAAAGCAGGATGTGAGAAGGAGTCAGAGCACCTCAGGGGAAGTTAGACACAAATAAACCTCATCGCTAAGCAGCACCACAGGAGGAATCAAGGTGTGCCTCATGGTGTCCAGAGACAGGATTTTCACTTAAAAAGTTAAACCAGAATCAAATCAAGTCTCAGATCTCAATATCTGTTAACATCACATTTGAGGAATGGAGAAGCAACATCACAAGGCAATAACCACACAAATGCAGAAACTGAAATTGTCTACAGGAAAAGTGACTCAGTTTCCCCCATAAGTAAACGTCATGGAAAAAAGCACAAGGGGGGCACTAGAGAAAACAAGAAACAGAAACATAAGGAACAAAGCCACTAGATGCAAATGCATGGATGCCGGTTCAAGTGAACCAACAGTTAAAAAGAAAAATCCTGGCCGGGCATGGTGGCTCACGCCTGTAATCCCAGCACTCTGGGAGGCCAAGGCGGGTGGATCACGAAGTCAGGAGATTGAGACCATCCTGGCTAACACGGTGAAACCCCGTCTCCACAAAAAAATACAAAAAAATTAGTTGGGTATGGTGGCGGACACCTGTAGTCCCAGCTACTTAGGAGGCTGATGCAGGAGAATGGCATGAACTTAGGAGACGGAACTTGCAGTGAGCCAGGACTGCACCACTGCACTCCAGCCTGGGCGACACAGTGAGACTCCGTCTCAAAAATAAATAAATAAATAAAAAAGAAAAATCCTGGGGAAATTGGGGAAATTTTAAACAGACTTATAATAGGTGGCAATAATCAATCACAGTTATCCTGTTTGCTTTACTGGTGACATGGTAGTTATGTTGAAAGCAATCCTTATTAGTTAGAGATGCATTTTAAAGGTTTTATGGAGGAATTACATGCTGTTTGGAATATACTTTAAAATATCCTAGAAGAAGAAAAGAGTGTGTGTTGGATACATGAAACAGTTTGACAAAATGTGGGTAACTGTGGAAGCTGAGTGACAGCTACAGGAGGTTCCCGGCATTGTTCTGTGTGCTCCTGTATTTGGGGATTTTCTGGAATAAAAAGTTTAAAATAATAACAAAATAATGTCTTACATCTGTTCATCAGCAAAGGCTAGCTGTTTTAAGAATGACTTTGGCTCACATTGGATCCCATGTCACTTAGGACATGAGTTAAAGTGAGGAGGACAGAGCTGGGCCTTCAGAGAAGCACGTAGCCCACATGGTTCCCACACAGACGAAGGCCTCACAGCTCTGTCCATTCCCAGCTAAAACATAAGTGTTAGTGACCTTCTGTTATTTCTTCATCTTCCTCCATTTATAATCAGTGAGTCATTTCCCTTATACCAAGAGCAGATACAAAATAAAGAACAGGAAAAAAGACACGTACGAAGGGAGAGGCGCATTTAGAAGGAATATCTGTTACTCCCTCATAAAACACACAACACCCTCATCTGCTTTCTCAAGCCTGCCTGTGGAGGCACTGGAGATCTGAGGATAAGCCTTGCCTCAGGGAGCCCCTGGGAGTGGCTGGAGAGTCACAGTGACAGGAGCACAGTGGTCAGTGTGCTGTGTATGACGTTAGCAGGGGTTGGGGGTAGACCCTCAGCCAGACTGGAAGCTACAACAGCCTCCCCAAAGGCAGGGGTCTGAGGAAGAATGTAAAGAATGAACAGGAATTAACTAGGCAGGGCAGAAGGGAAAATGTTCCAAGTGGCACGAACAGAAATGACAAGGCACGAACACCCACCAGGTAGCTGGTGCCTCATGCACCTGAGTGGTGTGGAATGTGAGAAGACCTGTGGTGATGGTCTCTCCAACTCAAGGATGCTCCTCAGCCTGGGCAGGAGCCAACACCCCTTACAAATCACCACTCCGGGTAACACAAGCTTATGACTCATATACGACCCATCCAAAGGTATGCAAAGTTCCCGTTAAAAGGGGCAGGGGGTATCACTGAAATTGCAGGGGTGAGGGTATATGCATCTGAAGACCGATAAAAGAACAAAAGGCAATAAATAATTACATCAACTTTCCAGCATCGAATAAAGATGTTTGTTTCCCATGAATGTATTCACAGCTTCATCCCTTTTTATTTCTATGTAGTGCAGTTGATGTAAAACATTGTTTTAAAATAAATTTTTAACATTAATCTTCCACTCTAAAATGCACAACCTTACCAGGATGGTTGGTCTTGATATGTGACTTTATCAATCGATCTTCTGAAAAAGACTTTTCACAAACAGGACAAGAATAACTCCTTTTGTCCTTAATAGAAAGAGAACACAGTCAATTGACTTTCTCATTTAAATCTGTGGTCTGTAAAAAATAACCATCACTATTACCATCATCACCCACCACCACCACCACTTACCACTCGTGCTATCAACAGTCATCACCACCACCACCATCATCAATACCACCATCACCACTAGCACTATCAACAGTCATCACCACTATCACCACTGCCACCATCATCACCATCATCACCACTGCCACCAGCACTATCATCAATAGTCATCACCACCACAACCAACACCATCACCACCACCATCAACACCATGACCACCATCACCATTACCATCATCACCACCACCACCAGCACTATCAACAGTCATTACCACCACCACAAGCAACACCATCACCACCACCGTCAACAACACCACGACCACCATCACCATCATCACCACTGCCACCACCACTACCACTAGTGCTATCAACAGTCATCACCATCACCATCATCACCACCACCATCACCACCAGTAGCATTATCAACAGTCATCGCCACCATCACCACGACCACCATCACCATCATCACCACCACCACCAGCACTATCATCAATAGTCATTACCACCACAACCAACACCACCACCACCACCACCACCACCACTAATGCTAGCAACAGTCGTCACCACCATCACCATCATCATCACCACCATCACCACCACTAATGCTAGCAACAGTCATCACTACCATCACCATCATCGCCACCACCAACAGTCATCACCACCACCACAACCAACACCGCCAACACTGCCACCATCACCACCACCATCACCATGACCACCATCACCATCAGCAACACTAGCATTCTCATTAGCACCATCATTATCATCAGCTTCATCAAAACCAGACAAAGTATACCCTCCCAAGCACATACATACAGGATTTACCTGGCGATCCCCTACTTGAGATCCCCTACACAGCCTGGGGAGCTCAAGTGTAGGGAAATGGGGAAATGGCAACAGCTCCATTTAAAAAGGAAGGGATGGGGCTTAGAGGGGAGAGTTCTGTGGAGGTGGGTGGTACTCAACCTCAAGGCTTGATCTACCACACAGACCAGTGCTACTCTACAACCCAAGAGCATATTATTTCTGCCAGCACTCAACGCAGGGATTGCATGGGCAAGTGATTGTACTGAGACTCACAACCACTCACAAAAGATAGGCACAGTTCATGCTCATGTTACAGATTAAGAAAACGAGGCCCAGGAGATAAGCCCAAAGTCTGAGAGGAGGAGCCAGTGTTAGAAGTAGAGTGTGCGGATGCCCACCCACGATGCCTCCTGCCCCTGTAAGACCCGTGGCCCACTGAGGCTGCAGGTAAGTTGTTCATCCTGCACTGCTGCAGCTTCACAGCCGGGACCACCATGGTGTAACATTCTCAGTTAGGAAGATGCTTTTGTGAATTATCAAGCTATGGCTTTTGCTCACCTCCCTTTGCTCTCAGCGCCCACTTGAGGGTGATTTCATATCTCTCTTTTCCCCCAGCATGGGTGTTATTGGTTGAATTACATCCCCTAAAAAATCATATGTCAGAGTCCCAACCTCCAATACCTCAGAATGTGAACTTATTTGGAAACAGGGTCTTTACAGAGGTAATCCAGTCAAAATGAGGTCACTAGGGTGGGCCCTCATCCAATGTGACTGGTGTCCTTATAAAAAGGGGAAATTTGAACACAGAACTGCACACAGGGAGAACACCATGTGCAGATGGAGGCAGAAACCACAGCAATGCATCTGCCAGCCAAGAAACGCCAAAGACAGACAGCAAATCACCTGAAGCTCACAGAGAGGCACGGACCACATCCTCCCTCCCCCATGGCCCTCAGGAGGAAGCGGCCCTGCCAACACCTTGACCTCTGCCTTCTGCTCTCCAGGATGGTGTGACAGTAAATATCTGCTGTTTATACACCAGTCTGAGGCACTTTTGATTGCCAAGCTTACCAAACCCACAGCTTACAGAGAGCCAAATCCTGGTAGGGAGGACTCTGTGCAGAGAGCTGAACAAAAAGTAAAAGCAAAATATGCAGAACTACCACTGCAAGGAAATGTTTTGGGCTGTGTGTGTTTTGGGGGAGGTTAATCCGCTCCATGCTCTCTTGGATTTACAGAAGGACTAATTCCCTCTACTGGTGGAGCCCCTACTGTGAGCTCCACAAGGCACCAAGTGTGTTCCATGCCTTGTGTGATGAATGCAATCCTCACTGTGCTCCCCGCTGGGCAGTCGACTCCTACTCTAAATAATGAAAAGCACAAGAGCTACCACTTCGTAAGAACTCACTGGATGCAAAGTGCTTTACATACCATATCCTATGAGGCCTTTAGAAACTTGCCCAAGGTTCACACTACACGAAGGGCAGAGCTGGACTCCAGAGCTCTTGCTCTTGTGAGACCCCGACTAGCAGACCAGGTTCAGGGCTCTGAGCCCCTGGGTTCAAATCTTGGTTTTGCCCCTTATTAGCTGTGGAACTTTGCACAAGTGATTTAACCTCTCAGTGCCTCCGTTTCATTGTCTGTAAAATGGCAATAAAAAACAATGCCTCCTTCACAGGGTCACAAGAAGGATAAAGGAGATGAAAAACACATGGAGTGTTTAGAATGGAGCCTGTCCTATAGTGAGTGCCCAATAAATCTGAAAGACTTTGCTGCTATGGTTTCCATGTTGCTATCATGCAACTCAGCCTGAGACATCAGCCCTTCTCATGGGCTCATACTCCCCGGGAGTCTCTGAGAGCGGGATCTGAATGAGCACCCTCCACCTGCTTTGGTGTTCACCGGCGCACACTTAGACAAAGCGTACTTTACATTAAAAACCAAAACCAAACCAAACCAAAAGTCCCTCTGAACAACTAAATGGTTTGGATGCCTTTCCCACCAAACATCTGAATACCAAGCAACGCCAGCCAAGCGCACATGTCCAAAGGGTCCAGGCATGTCTTACGAAACTGTCCTGAGTTTTCCGGCCAGGCAATGCCACAGACCCCCAGCCAGGCTACACCACGGGCTCAGGGCTCCTCAGAGGACTCCTGTTACCGTTCTCCTCTGCCCTTGGCCTCGGGCAAGATGCCCCGGGTTAGGCGGGCATCCTGGAGACCTCCACCACCCCTGGCTGCCTCTCGGTGCCCACATAATCAGAGTTGGCGTTCAAAAGGGCTTTGAAGGAGTTTACAGTGATCTCCCCTGAGCCTCCGCTATTTGATTTTTTTTCTTTTAATCTCTGATAGTCAGAAAGCAATTTATCTCAGAGTTTATCAGGGCCCCTTATTTTTTGATGCCTTTGAAGACTGTCAGAAGGACACAGATGGTGGTAAAGGGTACTGGGTGGGGGTTGTCGGGAGAACTCTTAGGACTCATTTACTTCTTTTTCAAAACCTCAGTTCCATACCAGAGATGAAAACTCAGACTGACACAGCAAACTTAAAAAGAGTGGTGGTTAAAAGAGCTCCCAGCAGAGATGGAGAGTCTGAGAGACCCATGCCTTAATGACGGTAGGAGAGCGCAGCTTTTGGAGTCTGTTTGCTCTGACAGAAATGGCCTTGAAAGAAAGGAGATGCCGCAGGAAGCTGCAGTATGGCCTGGGGTGCAAGGTCAGCTCCAAGCCTGAGGCTCACAGCCCAGCTCTTTGCTCCGGGCAGACCTCATCTGGTCTATGCCTTAGCGGCAGGTGCTTTAAAAAATAAAGGTGGGGGTTTCTACTCAACCATTTCTCAGGAATAAAGACCACAGTTATGGCATATGCTGTCCTCCACGGACTCACTCATTCATTCCTCAGCTGCTATAGGGCCCGTTATGTGTCAGGCGCTGCACTGAGGAAGAGGTGTGAGATTCTCAGGGGCTCGAATGCTCATCAAGAAAGAGATGTGCCCACACGTGGAACCCAACAATCCGTGAGGATGTCTGCAGAAAGTGCAGCAAAGCACAGGAAAAGTGATGTCGAAATTGCAACTGATTTGAACAAGTTAGAAGAGAGCCAGAAATGTGCTCGATTTAGGATTTCAACTCAAGGATTTTCCTTTCCACTGGAAATAGTTCTGTTTTGCCATGTGATGCCCTTTCAATTTAGAATCTCAGTTTTTGCTGAAATGAAGCTATTCTATGCACAACATGCTGTGGTAGCCTGAGGTCTCCTGGACAGTGGATAAAACACCTAGATGGAGCAATACAGAAGCAAACTTGTTTCGTGATCAACTAAGAAAAGATCATTTTCTTAAAGCTCGTGGGAAGGGAAAACATTATGTACAATCATTTTAATTAAATAACATTTCCTCTACTTTAAAAGTACACATACTGACTGTGTGTACCCATTTATTTCCAGAAAGAGATTGAAAGTAGTTTCCTCTCGCTTCTCAGTGCTTTGTTGGCAACATATTATTTTAGCTTATCTCCAGAAAGTACATGTAAGATTTCTTTTAAATATGTGTACCTTTATAGCCAAAGAAAGACTATGCGTTTCTCAGTGACAAAGGTTAGGTATTCTAAACATTTGTTGGGAGACCATCAGACTCAATAGATGCACCACCACCAATCACTATTACTATTCCTCCTCTTCCTCCTCCTCCTCCTACTAAAATGGAGGATTAGAAGGATCCTAATCCTTCTAATCCTAATCCTAATCCTAATCCTGAATTACTCTGGACAGGCCCCTCCCTATATGCCTGGGACTATGCTGTGTCCCTTACAAACATGATCTCGCTAAATTCCCATGGAAGTGGGTCCTGTTGGCTTCATTTCCAGGGGATTTGTTAGGTTATGGAGCCACACCACTTCTAAGTCCCAGAGTCAGAATGGAACATCAAATGCACCAACTCCCAAGCTCGGGCTGTAACTGTTACAAGACCCTTAGCATCAGGTTATCTTTGAGGTTTTCTGAGAAGCAACACAGGTCAGAAATAAAGGGAATAAACTGGTATATCATAAACATCCACCAGATGCTCCACTTCCTGCTGCCTCACACTTTTGAGTAGGGAAAAGAAAGAGAGATCAGA